ATTCATGGAATTAATCACAATTATGATAAAATGATCATAGTATGATAAAATGAGAAATACTTGTTGATAGATGAAATATGTTTAAAATTGGGCTGAATTTACCTGGGCCAAAATATTTGTATTAAAGGTTTGCCAACTGAATACTCAGTCAGCAGCAATATAATTCTTTGGTATTAGTAAATGGCTCTAAATAAATTGTTTGCTAATGCAATACATGATCTCATTAGCACCATGTTGACTATTAATCGTCAATAAATATATTACCCACTTACTTTGTGCCTAGAGAAATGTTTTAGGTACCCCTCAGAAAAGATATGATTCTCGGTCAATGGGAGGTTATCCTGACAGTTCTAAGAGCCATGCATTTTTTTAAACTTAACATGTTATTAAGCACTTTGTTTGTCCCTGAAGTATTCTCCATGAATATAATAGTAATTGTACGTTATTGTGCCAGTAGCAATGGTTTTTCACATAGTAAGTGTCCAATAGATATTAAATGTGTGTTAAAGATGGAAGTCATTGTAGGTTCTGGCAAAAGGCTTAATAACCACAGAATTTTAAGTAGCTTATTTTAATGTTATCCATTATTAGATTGAAGGAAGACAATTTTAGCGGCAACATTAGCTGAGCACTGTATGTTTTCCTATATTAATCTATATTTCTGAACGTTCTTCTTCCAGTGCTGTGATGTTATTCAATTCCACTGTGGTCATACCCCAAGGAAAGTTATGGGAGGCAATCACTGTTAATAAATATCTGTTGACTGATGAGCTATGTATATAAAATAATTCAATTCTTTATGAAAGAGTAAATAAAATAGGCTTTTTCAGATACAAGTGGGCAGAGGCCCCAGGCAAGGAACTCTCTTTGGCAAATATATATTTATTCTATAGAGATGGGTATTGCTCAAAACACTTCATGGGTTCCTGTGGGATTCCTTTCTGCAATTTGGTCACCTTCAATAGATACCATTAATGAGGGTTCAAGGGGATACTATTGCTGAATTGATTTGATTAGATGGGGTAAGTACACACAATGTGTTTTTATGTAAAAGCTGAAATATATAAATAGAGTTAAAATAAAAATACAGAGTGAGAGAGAGTGAAGAATCACAGCTTTACGAACCCTCCTTACTCCTCAGATCTAGACATTGGTTTGAGTGGTTGTAAAAGGAGGAAAAGGAAAACTGAAGTGAACTTGGACACTTTGAACATTCAAGTTTGTTTCAAACATGAACATAAAATGGAAAGACATTTGCAAACAATTAGTCCAGAGGACTAAGGGACCACAGAAATCAGAGTCCACAGTTCTGAGCCGAGAAGAACTAGATGGTGCTTTGCTACCAACATACACCGCTCTCAAAAGGATCACATTACAAGGCCTTGGATAGAGTAGGAGTGTGTGGAACAGAACTCCAAATCATAAAAGAGCCCAGCCTTACTGGTTGGATAGAGACTGGTGAACTTCCCAATTTTATGACTCTTAGATCTGGAATTAAACTCACTTTCCTGTTAGAAGAATCAATCATTGCATAATTAAGGATAAAAGTCAGCGGCTTAGGAAATAACAAGGCATGGAAACAGAAAAGACAGGGAGTTAGTGGGAAAAGCGATGGCACATTGAGAGGATGCAATGGATAAGTAGAAACAAAATGTGTACACACTCTTAAAGATAAAACTGAGGATCTGCTCTGTAAACCTTCCCCTAATTTACGATAAAATTAAGAATAGATGTCCTTTGGGAAGGTCTTTGAATCGAATATGAACATTTCTGAACTGACGTCTCTGCCTTGAATTTAAGTGGCCTCGTGGGTCTCATTGGAAGCCATCGCTTTGATTGGACCATTTTCTGGAAGGCAGCCTGAAAAGACTACAGAAAGTATATTACTGAGATAATTTATTTACAGATATGTTTAAACCCATTTTTCTTGGGAATAAACCCATGCAAGTATGAACTGGAAGAAAAAAAAAGACTGGTCATGCTTCTTTAACATTCTAAGTGTCTCATGGTCTATGTAGTTGGCTTCATATACCTTTATGTCTCATTAAGACACTCTTGGACCCATTTTAAATGTGCACCCCTGAAATTTAGATATGTGAATGTCGTTTTGTAGCTGCAGCCTGCTGCCACATGGTTTTCTCGGGAAATTCCTCTTCTGCCTCATTACATGCAGCAGGCACACTCCACAGACTCCAGACAGACATGACTTGTGCAGTCCAGAGTTGTTTTCTTCTCTCCATGACGCCCTTTTATTAGCAAATCTTGATTATGTCGACTAGGTAGAGAAAATAAAGTTCAGGTCTCCCTGTTAGCACCACAAAAATATTTCAACAATTTCAATAAAAATAATCTCAAAAATTAGTCCTTTCAATTGTGAAATTCTTGAAATCAGCAGGCGTACTCCCCTGTCACACAGCCACCAGGCATGAACCGTGTCTTATTCACAGCCTCCATCTTGAACTCCCTCTGCTTAATTGAACTAAACTCTACATCTCATGCCTTAATCATTTTCTTACTTGTGGCCTCTCTTGGCCCTTTGGACCTGACGTTCACCTCTGTTTCTCTAGCTGTCATCTATTGATTCATCCTCAAACAGGATTGAGCTTGTCTTATTGGCTATGTCACTATTATGGACAGGGGTGGCTCGGGGATAGAATTCTCACCTTCCATGTGGAAGACCCTCGTTTGATTCTGGCTAAGTACCCCATATATAGCTATCAGTGGAAGTTTTTATTTTCCTGTGCATCAGCATATATGTTCCTCCAGCATTGGCATTGGAGGAAGGCTTTAACAACTTGAGAGATGCAGATGCTGAAGTCAAGGAGGACACTGGCATTATTTGCTGATGAAGATTGTATTGATTCAGTACAGATTACAATGCAATGTAAAGAAAATCAAAATCTTCACTATTGCACCAATAGACAACATAATGATAAATATAAAAAAAGATCAAAGCGTTTCCTCTTGCTCAGATCTACAATCAATGGTCATGGAAGTAGTAATCAAGAAACCAAATGACATAGTGAATTTTATAAATCTGCTACACAAAACATCTTTAAAGTGTTTAAAAGCAAGGATGTCACTTTGAAGATGAAGAAGTGGCTGATCCGATCCATGGCATTTTTCAATAGCCACATAGGCATGTGAAAATTAGACAATGAATAAGAAGACCACAGAAAAATGTATGCATTTGAATTATGATATTGGCAAAGAATACTGAAAACACATGGACTATCAGAAAACAAACACATTAATCTTAGAAGAAGTACAGCTAGAATGCTTGTTAGAAGGGAGTATAGTGGGATTTCATCTCGCATACTGAGGACATGCTATCAGGAACGACCAATGCCTGGGAAAGGACTTCATCCTTTATAAAGTGGAGGGTCAGTGATTGATGCAGTGGCTGTGACCATGGGTTCAAACCTAACAACGATTGTGAGGATGGCCCAGGACCGGGCACTGTTTCCTATTGATGTGGAAAGAGTCACTATGAGTCAGAATCAATTCAATGGCAACTAACAGCAATATATTTGCTGCACAACTTTTAGTGGAGCTTCTAGCCTAAGACAGGCTAGGAAGAAAGGTCTAGTCACTTATCTCTGAAAATCAGTCAATGAAAACTCTTGTTATGGCTCACAACAGTGTCAACTCATTGTACCTGAGGTCATTCATTATGAGTCAGGTGTCAACTTGATGACAGTTCGCAACCACATACTATTCAGTTACCCAATTGCATTTGACCTCCAGGATGTTATACCCCAGCTTGTATAGTTGTGCACTCTCCACCAAGTTAATCTTGGCCTTTCTATGAAGCTGTAGAATCTCTATGCTGAATGGCACTATAACAGTTACTGTGAGCTGAACTCATCTTCCACCATATTATTAATCGTACATACTTTTACGAATGTTTAATTCGAAATCTCAATGATGTGAGTTTGGACCCTTTGAGCAGCACTGACATTTAGGCAGCTATGTAGCGGTGCCAAAGGAAACTATGTTGTTGTAGTATGCTGTCAATTGGCTCTGACTTACAGACATTTGTACAGATTCCGCTAGGTCAGAGGCTTTCCTAGACTGCAATTGTGACAGGAGCATACCATTAGATGTTTTGTCCCATGGAGCAAGGTCGTGGGTTTGAACTGCCAACCTTTCTCAGTTGAGCATTTCATCACTTCACCATCAGTAAGACCACACTACTGCTATTGAACTGATTCCAACTCAATATAGGATTTTTAAAGCTGTAAATCTTTATGGGAGCAGACAGCCTCATTTTTCACCTGAAAAGCAGCTGATAGGTTTGAAATGCCAGTTCTACAGGTAGCAACCCAATGCCTAACTCACAACACCACCAGGGTTCCTTTACTAAGACCAAAGATGGCAATATTGTTGGGATCAAAACACCCCAAAAGATCCCCAAACTCACTGCCATCAAGCCAATGTCGACTCACACTGACTCTACAGGGCAGGACAGAACTGTCCCATTGAGTTTATAAGACTAACTTTTCACAGGAAGAGAAAGCCCCGCCCTTCCTTCATGGAGCTGCTGGTGGGTTCAAACTGCTGGCAATGCAGGTCCCAGTGCAACACGCAATCATCATGGTACTAGGGCTCCTTATTGGTGAGGATAATTACTATTTCTTTGCTAGATTTTTACATTTTTAAATAGAGGTAGAAAACATGGCACACTTCTATACCCACAAAAGGCACAGAGGCAAGGCTCACAAGTTCAGCCACTCAATAAGACAAAAAGGCAGCAGGAGCTGAATGTCAGAAATACTGCAGGTGACAGTCTCGAGGTTGGCTCAGAAACAATGGGAACATCCAGGAGGTCATTGGCAGACACCAGTCACGTTGACCCCAGCAAGGTATGTGCAGCAAGAAGCTGTGAGCTGTTGTCCTGTTTGTCTTTCCTTTATACATTTCTCCTCATGTTGCTTCCTCCAAGCTCTGTACCCCTTTGCCCTACCTGCACCATCAGGCAAGGACTGGCTGTTACTTACCATGCCCTTTAATGTCAGGTCTGCTAAGGGAGACCGGTTGCCGTGGAAATCTGGCCAAACATGTAAATCAACAGTGAGGAAACCCATGGGCTGAGCCTTCTTAATCAGATCCAGGTGACTGTTCAAATATGCATATACACTCTGACATCTGGAAGAGAAGTAGATTTTGTTTTTAAAAGGGGGGTAGGGTCGTGGAGCAAATTTTTCTGCAAAAAGAAACCATTTGTACTTCCCTATCAGCCCCAGGAAAGAAAGCAGAGTCCCAAAAGCTTCAGCAAGGAGACTACCCTAAACCAGAGAAATGAACATGTTTCATTCTAAAATTAATACTGTCCTATGACCAGGAAAAAGTGCAATCTCCTGTTGGAAAGCGCTAGATTCCAGGAATAGCTTCATCCCTGCAAGATTTGTGACCATAAGAAAGTTATTCAAACTTTCTGGACCACTCTCTTCTCATCCATTAAAATAGATAGCATAATCCCTATCCAACTTACCTCATAGGGTTATTGTGAAGATCAAAGAAGAAATGCTATTTGTAAACTGTATAATACTATACATATGTAAAGGATTTAAAAAAGATGTATTCATAATTATAATAATAATGATGATAATGACAAAAGGAGACAAATATAAGATCCCAGATTCAGGATAGAAGTTTGCTCAGGGAAATGATCAAACAGAGTAAGTGCAGCCAGGAGCAGGAGGTAGGAGACTTAATCTTGATTCTCCCCTAGCTCTTTCCTAGCTGGAAAACACGGGCCAGTATTGAGACCGCGCTGAACTTCACAGGCTATAATAATACCTTCCTCATTGAGTTAACTCTTGCTGTATGGCACTAAGATTGCAGTTGGCTACTTTTCCCTTCTTTCAATGTGCATTGCTCTCAAAGTTCGGAACCAGTGCTTATATAGATGAAAGTATCAGTTTGTCATCTGTTCTGCTTCTCATTGGAGTTCTTGGAAATATCGCTTTCATATTTCTAATGTAAACTAAACACATGGTTTGACTATTGGTATGAAGAGGAGTGAAAAGACACTTTATTATTTAATGTTGTCAAATATTTTGGAAGCAGGCCCAACAATTTCTAGGTCAAGTTTTGTGATGCGGAGTGTCCTCATAGATCCCATGATGTCCCTAAATTTTTACTTAACAACGTTTAAGTAAACAAATAAAAATCAAAATGTGGAACAATGGTTTTCAAAATCCTTTCCCCTATCACCAGAACTCTTTTATTAAATAATATTTTTTTGTAGAATGCCTATATGAAATATAGGGAAAAAAGGCTGCATGAGTGAGTGTGGGTGTGTAAGAGTGAGAATGTGTGTGTTTGTACATGTGTGGTGAAGTGGGAGGCAAGGGGAGTCTTTTCCATTAGTCCTATCTTTTTTCTTCTTCCTGTGAGTTCTCATTTCTTTTTTTCAAAATACAACCCTATTTGTACTGTATTATTAATTGGAATTTAATGCATATATCATATCATTCAAGAAATGTACAATTGCTACCAAAATCAGTTTCCAAACATTCTTTATCTACATGGACTCCTTGGGATTGAGACTTCACTTCATTTCTATCAGCAAAAATATCTTGTCCTAGAATCATGAGGAACAAGATACAACTGAGAAAAGGCTCAACAATGATCCCATCATCACTCGCCATCCCCTTCTCATGTGCCATGTGTCCCACTTTCCTCCACAGCACAGTGAAGAAGTATCGCTACCGGCTTTTCACAGACATGAACAAGGCCGTAGTGTTTCAATGGTAGAACTCCTGCTTTCTGTGCTGGAGACCCAGAGTTCACTCCTGGGCAATGCACCTCATGTGCAACCACCACCCATTGGTCAGTAGAGGCTTCCAAGTTGCTGGGACTCAGAATACAATTGAGTGGAATTTGTAGACTAAGACAGACTAGGAAGAAAGGCCTGGTGATCCACTTGCAATAACCACCCAATGAACACCCAATAAGCCACATCTGTGTAACTGTATGAGGTTTCCTTCAGTTGGAGCCCAACTCAAGTGCAGTTAACAATGGAGAGGAAGCTTCAGGAAGTGAAGAGATGTTGTGGAGGCTACATTTAAACCCTGCTCTGGGATTTCCCATCTGGGAAGTCTGGCTTGGAAGAAGTACAGCCAGAATGCTCCTTAGAAGCAAGGATAGCGAGACTTTGTCGCACGGACTTTGGATATTTTGTCAAGAGAGCTCAGACCCTGGAGAAGAACATCATGCTTGGTAAAGTAGCAGGGGAGCAAAAGAGAGAGGGACTTTAACAAGATGGACGGACATAGTGGTGCATAGATGGGCTCAAACATAAGAATGATTGTGAAGATGGTACAGGACCGGGCAGTCCATCGTGCTACTATGAATTGGAACTGACCAGCACTTGACAACAACAGCCACTGTGTGATTTTGAAGCCATGAGCTTTCTCTACCTCACCTTAGAAGGTGTCCAAATTCCACATTAAAAACCTGTCAGAATGATTCTATTATTAGTTTAGGAAAGGATCCTTCATAAATAGCACCCCAAGGGATGGTAGGCCCCAAACCGTACGTCTGGGTAAACTAAGATCTCAGACTGGTTTTTTATATCCTAACTCGATTTGATTCTGGACCAATAGGAATCAGATTTACAATCAAAATCATGAGAAAATCCTTTCCTGTTAAAGACAGGACACACTGCCATTGAGTTCATTTCGACTCCTCGGCCGGTCTGCATCAATTCTAGCGAAGTTCCACTTCAGAATGGCAGCACTGCGCGTGGAGTGAAGAAATCCATGCCCTATCCCCACCCCCACCCCTGAAGCATTCATCTATAAATCTTTTCATTCTGCCTCACCAGGAATCTCAGAGCAGGGCATTTGGTTTCAGACATCTGGGTCAATAAGAACCTATAGGCCTAATTACTATTGATTCATCATTGTCTCATTTACTGTGGGTCTCTGCAAACAGGGAGATTCATTTAGCCTCTACACGGACGGTCACTCGTGCACTAATGAGATCCCTGGAGGCCCAGGCATACCCCTATGATTCCTAACCTTCTCACAGCCGTGTGTTTATTCTTTGAATTCAGACATTCTCCTACATGCTTTTTCAATTATACCTTACCATGTGTGCTATCTGAGTATATCACTCAAAATGAAATGCACTTGGAAGACATTAAAATAACTAATGCACATCATTACTCACGGAATTTTAACCTCGCAGCATGCCTTGTTTGGTTTTGTCTTTGTTTTGCTTTTTATGTTTTATCAATTCCTTTTCAAATGGTGCCTTGCCCTCTTCCAGCGAGGTAATCACATTTGCAGTGACTATGCCACGTGGATCATTCTGCCTCCTCATGAGTTCCAGTCTCATCTATCCTTTTCTCGTAGAAGAAGTTCTGAGTTTTCCATGTCCCCGTGGGCACGGTGAAGAAAAGATCAGTTCCACAATCACAGAGTGAGTTCATCATAGACCAGCTGGTGATTAGGGACAATGAACCTTGTGGCTTCTGCCTGGATTTTGTTGAAATTGGGGCACACTCATTTGTGATTGGTTATGAAAGTTAAATAAATACAAAACCGTAAGTACTATAAAGTGATAGGTAATCAATACATAGTTCCCTCTCCTTTTACAGCACAGGAAACTCATATCCAGCTTTACAAAAATCCAGAAGTCAAAGAAAATTATTTTCCAGACTCTATTACTTAGAATCTTAAATGCAGACAACACTCCTGGAATCTCCACTACTCCCACTCTCCCTCCCTCCCCATAAATCGTCTTTGAATTCCGTTGAATTCTTTGGATCTAGAAGCTCCACAGAAGTATGGTGACCATACTTTCAAACCCAAAGTCAGAATTTGTGGTCCTAACAAAAGACACTGCCCAAGGGTAAGAGAAAGTCATGGAGAAGAAGGTGTGCTTAACATCTCGCTCCAGTTCCTCACTTTTGAAGACCCTGTAGGATCCATTCTACCTGACCCACTCCATTGAAACAGTTCCTTTCCCCAACCCCAAAGTGAACAAGGCTCTCTTGGTTGTTAATTCCAAACAAAGTTATCTGCTTTAATTTACTTGCCTTCTCCTGAGCATTGTACATCACCTGAGCATTTCCTCATCCCTTCCCATGCTTTGTTTCAGAACACCATGTGATCTGCCTTTCTGTTCACACCCTAACTGGTTGACTTTTGCGTTCTTCTGACTCATCATACACCCTCGGGAAATTGCATGTTCCTCTCACGACTCTGTTAGGTGCTTTCGCCTCGGTTCCCAGTCATAGCATCAGAACTATGGACCAGAGAACAAAACACCACCAGGGAGTGGCCATTCTCACAATTGCTCTTCTGTTTAGCCACTGTGTCAATCCGTCTTGCCCAGGTTCTTCCTCTTTTTTCTGTCCTTCTCTACCAAGCGTGATATCCTTTTATCCTAACAACATATGCAAAGTACATGAGTCAGTCTGACCATTCTTGCCTCCAAGGAACATGCTGCTTATACTTCTTTCAAGACAGATTTGTTTATTCTTATGGTAGTCCATGGTACTTCCAATATTCTTAAACGCCACCATAATTCAAATGCATTAATTCTTCTTCAGCCTTTCTTATTCAATGTGCAACTTTCAAAGGCGTATGGGGCAGTTGAAAATATCATGGCTGGGATCAAGTGCACCTTAGGCCTCAAAGTAACATCCTTGTGTTTCAACACTTTAAAAGAGTTCTTTAAACACATGAACCCTATTCGCAACTCCTATTTGGTCTCTGAACAGCTGCTTCCATGAACATTGATTGTGGATCCACGCAAGACAAAATCCTCAACATCTTCAATCTATTCTCCATTTACCATTATGTTACCTATTGGTCCAGTTCTGTGGATTTTGTTTTTCTGTACATTGGGTTGTAATCCATACTGAAGGCTGCAGTCCTCGATCCCCACCTGCAAAGTGCAAGTCTACCTCACTTTTAGCAAGCAACGTTGCATCCTCTGCATATTACAGATGGCTAATAAACCTTCTTTCTATCCTGTTGACACATTCTTCTTCAAACAATCCATTGTCTCTGATAATTTGCTCAACATACAGATTGAACAAGTATGAAGAAAGGATACAACCGTGACCCACACCTCTCCGGATTTTAGCCCATGCTTTGCAGAACGGTCACTTGATCCACGTGGAAGTT